GTGCCTACTGTTCGCTTGACTCAATTATCTATCTCTTGAATCGCGCTGGTTTTTCTTGCCAGGCTTATATACTAAAAAAGAGGGTGCCTGGCAAACACTCGGACATTCGCACACACACCATTTTACTAAAAGTAGAGAAACAACATATCTTTAGAAAAGGGGTTTGGTAATTATCTACTGATGGCCCCTTTTTTGTTAATTGAAGTGGGCACATCTTTGGTGTTACTTACAACCTAAACCAGGCCTTGACAAATCTCAGGTGTCAGGTTGCCATGGAGAAAAAATTTCATTGTGGTGCCTAGTATTTTCTCCCATTTTATTCGTGCTTAAGACTGTGCTAAGTAGAACTCAAATCTAGAACAATTCTGAGCTCTTGGAAGTACAGAACTATTTTTGCATTCTTTGAGTTCTAAATCAAACTTTGTTTCTATGATTTTAATGGTAGATTAAGCACTTCATATTTTTTTCAGGAATGAAGCATTGCAGTTGCACAACATGTTACTAATTTCACACCATTTTGTTTTTCTTCTTTCTCTCAATTCAACCAATCAGTGCACATGTTTAGGCTCAGACAGAACCAAATGCAGTTAGTTCAAGCAATACTATCATGTGGTTGTTGGTATCATGTGATTGTTACTGTGAAAGTAAATAAATATACATAGCCCCCATTTCCTGGCACAAACAGTAGTGAAGTTAGGTTAGGCACACCTGAATCCTGAATTTTTGGGCTGGCTCCTAGATCAGGAAATAATTGTCGAGGCCTGGGCTAAACCATGTTATAAACACTGCTATGAACTTTTAGTATACATATGGTAGAGTAGATGATAACCCCATCCACTGAACGGTTCTAAGTCTGTCTTATTCTGTCCTCCAAGAGATGCTCCTAGAATTTCTAAAATTATTCAGTTGGATTCAAATCAAGTTCTGGGCCGAACAGATAGTGCATTATAATGTTTAAAAATGTATGGTCTTTCCCCTTAGACTTCCATCAATACAATAACACATTCATGTCTATCTACCTATAATTAATAGACCAAGTCTAACAGACCCACAGCATAATATTAGTCTCCACCAACCTTCATACTTGGAAGATAATCATAACTAAACTGTTCTCAAAGTTGCTGTTTAACTCAGGCCTATCAATGCAAGCAACAGGTAGCAGGATTCATTGCTATATACTATGGTTCTCATTGTTCTTCATTCTAATTTAAATACTGGAGGTATTATGATGGGAAAGATGTTGCATACATGGCCATAATAAGCAAATACAGCCTATAATATTCAGCAGCAAGAATGATTGTATTGGAGCTAGCCCACTGTCTTGAACTGTCATTAAAATTCTGGGTGATGGATTTAATGCCAGATATGAATTTTCATTTCACAACACTTCTCAAAGTTTACAAGAACTCAGGAATAGCCATACCAATGTTTCACATGATCAGGATTAGAGATGATCCACTTCTTCAGCAAATTATGGTACAAATGATAGGGTGACTAGAATGCCTCAGACACTCATATCATTAATTTTTTGTTTAATGTTCATTCATCTAAAGGTATGCGATCTTCCTTCCTTGTGGCATCTTGGCTCCTACTGTGGTACCTATTTGTCTTTATAAAGTTATGTACCATGGTATTAACATTCTTACTGCAGTTCCAATACTTTTGGTAGTATATTGCATATAAATGTACCTATACAAAAACACAGCATTTGAAACTAACTGTATGTAACTAAATGTACAAATACTCTAAAGGAGGTAAAAGAGATGTTTCATTTAAAATAGTTGGTTACAGTTCATCTGCAAGGTTTCAAGTACAATGTTTAGTCAACCTTGTAAGAACAGTTATTAGGAAAACTTTATATATTAAATATGGTCAATGCATCACATATTACACACTGAGCTATCATACTTGCAAGTCTGTTAAATTATTTTATGAGCTATAACCTACTTTTTACTTCTTTAAGATAGCATGTGAATCCTGCTATATACCTTTTTTAAAATGTCAAATATCAATAAATCATCACAAACAAAGCCAAATTCAAGTTGTTAGAAAACAATAAAAAATCAAACATGAAACAATAATTATTTTTCATTTTTCATATAATAGAATATTTTGGAACTTACCAAAGTGAGAGCAGCCTCTGAGGACACATCTTGAAAGGCAACTAAACTTAAGCTGATTACATAAAAAAAAGAAATCAATTAACTTTCCTTTAACACACTATTTAGTTTTTACCACTGAACTTGATTTTTAATAGTTCTTGAGCTGGTTATTTAGCTATTAGATGCAATGCAATTTAAAATAGGATGTTTTCTGAAGTTCAATTTTAAAGAAAAGTTTCAAGAATATTTTAAAACTATGCGAGCATGTTTAATTAAACAAATAAGAAAAAATAATTCCTTTACAAAAAAGCCTTATCATTTCCAAAAATGAATGTTTCAGGTGAAGGCTTTTGTATGAAATTTCCTAAGTTTATTGTTAGTTAAAAAAATTTACTAAGCATTTGTGATGATAAACAAAATCCATCCTGAGCTGTTCAATCAATCTAATACATTCATGTTTCTAGCATGAAATTACTCTTCAATTTGTGAAATGTTTTGTTAACTTTTCTTTTCAACCATAAGTATTAGAAAAGGTGATGATTATTAAAAAACTTGTCCATTTGAATGATAAATATTTTATTTCATAACACAGTAGCCACAAGTTTTCAAAACTTTTTTTCCACCAACTTTCAAGATAAAATTCCAGGTTTTTAGAAAATTACACACAAATGCATAAGCACACTGATATTTCAAACTTCTTGTTAAAATTGTACCTAATTAAACACCATTTTAGTTTGTAATTTCTTTATAAGTTCCATTAAAAATCAGATGAAAGCACTACAGAGAAAGATCTTCAAAAAAGGACATTGCAATTAGATGGTAGACAATAAAATGTTGCATATCATAAAAGAATATTTGGTCTAACCTATCATTAAATACAATGGGTTATATAATTTTCTCTAGATAATATAACAAAATAAATGAATAAGATTATGTTAAAATATACCTGTAACTTGCACAGCTAAGCATTATGATTTGTGTGCATGTGCAAGCTTAAATTATATATTAATAAAAAAGATGGAGAAAGAGGCACAAATTTCCCCAACCTTTCCAGGTTTAAAATCAATAATAACATAAAATGTACAAAATTTGTTGAAATTTATCATGGTAAAAGATTAGGCTATTATCATTAGGCCACATGATATTTGATCAGTAGAAAACAAATAGGTTTGGAATTAATTCCAAAACATATAAATATTATTTTACAATCAAGGGCTACATGAATACTTTAACCACAGCTTATTATAATATTTAATGTTCTACTGACCTTAAAGATCAAACTAAAAGGAAATAAATAACCATGTACAAAATTTAATTGCAAATGCTCTATTTGATAAGAATACTAACTAAAAATGACTTCAACTGTATATGATGTTATACATGAACAATTTTAACAGTATAACTTTTCTTCTTCTTCTTCTTCACCTCTTTAACTTAAGAAAAGGTTTTTTTTTAAAGCTAGAAATGTATTAGAAACACCACACCAGCCTAAATAATGAGGATCCATAAACTGAAGACTTTAATGGAGGCTCATTGAGAGTTATAATTATTACAAATACAAACCACATTTCTAACTTGGTATAGTGTCTTTTAAGTAATACAAATAGCTTCTTCCAGTGCACTAATTTGCTAACTGAACATAAAAATGTAAGACAATATAATAAAATTCTATTACAGGCATAAAGACCACCATTTTCTTAACACTTTGCAAAACCTTTTGAAGACAGTAATAATAGGAAGATAAATAATAAACATTAAAGTACAAATATCACATTCCAAATAGTATGAAATTGAACTGTTTATGAGAATACTGATATGTGAAACATTTGCTACAAGTATGTATACAATGAAAGTTGACATTTTCTTACATTGAAAATGTATTTCCGAGAGGTACTTACCTCTACTCACACAAAGCTATCTTGATCTTCTTTCTGTCCTCTATGCATTACTAAAAAAAATTATCATGCTCAGTGCTCAAGTCTATATACCCACCAATTTAATGTCACAATTGAACATGTGCATATCATGTGACTATCCTCCACCAATAATAATGTGCCACCTATATTGGTATAGCTAGCTCCCTCTGCTATTCCCACTCAATTCTCACTTTTGAGAATCAACAGGATCTAAAGGAATAAGACTGGCAGTGGGGAGGAAAAGTGGGAAGTGTGAGAGAGGAGGTAAGTACCTATAGGAAATATATTTCCAGTGTAAGAAAATTCTATCTTCCAATATGGTCTTGCATCCTTTTACACAAAGCTAGAATCCCAAATTGCAAAGGTGGAGTGACTGGTGTAGATGCAGAACATTGAAACCTAGTGGAAAGTAGCTGCCAAGAATGAATGGGTGTGTTCCAAGATGAACCGAAGAACACATGGGGTAACACACTACTTCTGGAACAGGTATGTTCTTTGCCCTGGAAGAAAAAAATGAACCTGATATGGATGGAAAAAAAAGGATGTGCACAAGTGTAATTTGTTCTGAGAGGTGTAATCCATAGTAAAAAACAGCCCATCCTAGCTATGTATATACCCAACCTGAATGGGACAGACAAGGTTCCACAACTTGTCCTTGGCATAAGGAGGTGGAGGATCAATCAGATAAAACTAATATAAAGTAACATATATATCGTAGCTAGGGCATGTGGATCATGTCACATTACACATGAACCTCAACCATAGTAAACAGTGTTATATGTTAAACAATTGGAATTACAGAGAGGAAGTTAGCATGCAGTTGAAACCAGACAAACTCCCAAAACCACCATAGAAGCAAGAAGTACAACAAACTGAACTCGGAGTTACAGAGTCTTGGAGTTGCCTCAACTCAGCCATAACAACAGGGCAATTTCTGTAACCAGAATTAAGAGCAGAAATCTTAATTCACCCAACCTTAAATGCAGAGAAGAGATCCTGCATCTGGAATTACAAGGAGGATGTGGAACATTCGTTCAACCATAGGAACAGTGTATTTACGTCCTGTTGCCAGTATTACGAGGCAGGCAAAGTCCCCCAAACTCAACCATCTGCAACCAGAATAAATGAGGGGGGGGGGAGCTCTACTGCAAACAACTTTGGGAACAGTGTCATCCTGCACCCAGTATTACAAGGAGGATTCTGCATAGGCTGGTCCTGCTCCAACAGATAACTGTCCACCTGGAAATAAGCATCCAGGGGAAATGGAAGGAGGGAAACCAGCTCTGCTCTCTTCACATTGAGTGGATATATGGTAAGTTAAAAGTCTACAATGCACTCAAGAGGAAGGCTCCATGGTCCACCACCCCAGCAACTGGGAAGTGGTAAGGACTCCCCTCAGAGTAAAAAGGGGGAAGTAGATATAGGGTGGGTGGTTTGGAGGAACATCACACTAGAAAAAGTGCAATGGGTGTACACGATTTGCCATGGTATGGTCCCTGTAAAGCCACCAAGCCAGGTTAGCCATGATTGGGGAAGAAAGGGTAAAAGGGTGGTCCAAGGGATCTGAGTAGAAGTTCTACTGATAACGGAGTGTCCAATGAAGGAAATGCATATCAGCTTGACACATGGGAATGAGAGTTTCCAAGGAAGCTCACATCCCCAAGAGAGATAGAACCTTGTTAATTGTCATTTAAGACTCATAACATAGGGAAATTATTATATAGAATTATACACAGACTTTTCTCTACATTAAAATACTTTTATTTGTGAGCTTTTGGCCCTCTTACCAGAGCCTTCATTTGGCAACAATTGCAAATAAAAATATTTTAACGTAGAGAAAAGTCAGCGTATAATTCTACAGAGATAGAACCTCTTGGGCCTAACTGAAGTTGGAATTGTAGAAAAACCCCAAATGAACAAGGTATTGAGTGGGGGTAAGAATGGGCTTCTCCACCTTTATCAGGAATCCCACCCATGCTGTTTCTTGTAAAAGAAAACAAGTGTGATCTCTGGAGTGAGAATGGGAAGAAGTGAGCAGGAGGCAGTAATCCCTGTAATGATGAGTGTGACCTGTAATGATGAGTGTGAAGACCCATCAAGTGAACATGTCAGGCAAAAGTTCTTACTACCTTATGAAATACACAAGGATCTGAGATTAGTCCAAGCAGTAGGGGCCTAAACTGGAACACTCGACTCCTAGTTATCAATAACTATCTACGATGTGAGTACTGTGTGGATGAACCACAAATTGTAGAGCATGAGGGGAAAAATTGGTTTCTAGTATCAAGAACGTAGGAAATGGAGCCAAAGCAAAGCTCAGCCCTATGAACAGGAAAGAAATGAACACATCAGCAATGCAAAAAAAGTAAGCTCTACAGTGATGAAAATGAGTATTATAAGGTACATATTTAACAATAATGAATAAAAATTATTCAGATAGAACAATGAATTAGATGTTACTAGTAGGAATAATATGTAAAGCACAACTATCAAAACATACCTAGTTAACAAACTACTTATTCATATTTAACTGACAAACCATCTAAATTTACCTAGTCTACTAAGTACGTAATAATAACAAACTGTAAACCAACTAAAATTACCTAGAAAACAAAGTAATAATCAATATCTAACCTACAATAAATCTAAATCTTAGATGACAAAGGACACAAATATATGTAACTTATCCAAAGTCTGAGCACTGATGAGGTGAAATACTTAATTTTTCCATGTGTAGAGAAGGAAAAAAACCACACAAAGGGCATCTGAGCCACACCTACCATGGGTATCACAAACAGTTGTGTAGTGTATAAGTCAAAACTTACCACCGATCTGGGAGCAATGGGAAGAAAGGAAGAGAAGAACAAACCTCCACCAAAGTGAACAATGTGGAGGCATGGTAACAGAAGTAGAAAAAACAAAACTAGTAAAATTACCCTCCCCTTGAACATACAGAAAAACTGAATATGCCTCAATCTTTGACCTAAGTAACCAGCTGACAAAAAAAAGGGGTGGAATGTGAAATCTCCTGAAGAGGTGTAGAGTGTAACAGACCAAAATAAGATGGTGCCAGAAAAAGTGAGTCCAAATTGTCTTCTCCTTGATTGTATTCTTCCTTAGCAACATTGTCAGGTTGAAAATGAGAAGAACTCATTGG